TCCTCTCCTCCGCCTCCTCCTCCCTCCGCCTCCTCCTCCTCCGCCTCCTCCTCCTCCCCTCCTCCTCCTCCGCCTCCTCCTCCTCCTCCTCCTCCTCCTCCCCTCCTCCTCCTCCCTCCTCCTCCTCCGCCTCCCCCTCCTCCTCCGCCTCCTCCGCTCCTCCGCCTCCTCCGCCTCCGCCTCCTCCTCCTCCCTCCTCCGCTCTCCTCCTCCTCCTCCTCCTCCCCTCCTCCTCCTCCTCCTCCTCCTCCTCCTCCTCCTCCTCCTCCTCCTCCTCCTCCTCCTCCTTCTATCCTCCTCCTCCTCCTCCTCCTCCTCCTCCTCCTCCCCCCCCCCTCTCCCCCCAACATATGTTATTCATTCTAGAGTATAGGTATATCATGTTTCTATGAATTGTGATAGATAAGCCATAGAGTTGATAATAGCATAATATTTAACCCTTTGACTGTTTTGGTCGTATATATACATCTTGAAACCCAAACCCGTTTTTGAAAATATACTCATAAATTCTAGGGGCCCTTTTCAAACCCAAGCAGAGAAACTGGTACCCCCCAAAATGTGAGAAAAAGGGGGCCCTGTTTTGGCCCAGTGTGACCATATAAAAGAATCCGCGAAACGCAGGGGCATAATTGAAAAAAAAATTGTTTTTTTTTTTTTTTTTTTTTTTTTTAAAGTTGCCGAATTTGGGGGGCCGGGTTTTTCTTTGGGGGTTTAGGTTGTATTCTCTTTTTCTTGATCTTTTTGTTTAAATGGAAAACCAAAATTATAAAATAGGGGGTTGATTTTGTTTGGTTTTACTTTTGTAAAAAACTTGAAATGGACCCTAAAAGTGGGGGAAAGTTTGATTTTTGCCGAAGTTCAAAATTTAAACAAATGATGCTTTTTCCAAAAAATACCAACTAGCCATTCAAAATCAGTAAAGAATGGGCTGACATTATTTTTTCAATTTTTCCCAATTTTTGCAGTAGTCTGCAAAACAGAAAAATCTTCTTTTTTTGTATGAAAAAAAATTTAAAAATTTTAAAACAAGGTAATATCAGGGGGGCCTGGAGAAAAGATGATGAAAAAAAGAAAATGCTATTTTAGGGGCCAGGAATGTCTGCATTTTTTCATTCTGGCCCTTTAAATTTTGAAATTTCATATTTTTTAGTTTTCGGAAATTTTGGGCCAAAATTTAAAATTTTTTCCCCGTTATTGGGTAGTTTTAAATAGGTTTAAATTTGGGGAGTTTCTTGTACTCACTCGATAGGGAAAAAAAGGGGTTTTTAAAGAAAATAGCTATGAGTTGGTCCCACTTGGAACACTTTTTAATTAAACCGAAAAAAAGGGTTTAAAGTGGGCGAAATCACCCAATTTGTAAATATTGCCGAGGTCGCTAACTTTGCAAAGCATAAAATTTTTGTCAGTTTTCCCCTCAAATTTTGTTCTTTTTGGATAATTGCAAAACGGGAAAAGGGTTCTTTAATTTATAAGATTTTTTTTTTTTTTTTTTTTTTTTTTTTTTTTTTTAGAAATTTTGCGACACCAGGAGACATCTCAGGATTTTTGGTTACAACAGTCGAGGGGTTAAGCATTTTGTCCTGTCTTCAAACAATAAGCTTGCCTCCCTCTCCACTCTTCGCCATTTTGCATACACCATCAAGACTCTTTAATAAAGGTAAAAGTGATTTAAATGTTCATTTATCCATTTCATTAGTCATTTTATTTAGTTCTCATTGTTTTGTGTATGTAAAACTACAGTTAATCTTTAATAAATGCATTTTTTTTTTTTTTTAATATTTTTGGGTGTCTGAAACGGATTAACCCCTTGACTGTCACAACCCCCTGGTGTCACAAAATTTAAAAAAAAAAAATTTTTTCTTATGAAATGATAGAGAATCTTTTCCCGATTGTAATGACACAAAAAAAAACGAAATTTGATGGAAAACTGATGGAATTACGCTTTCGCGAAGTTAGCAACCTCGGCGATATTTACAAATCGGCCATTTCGCCCACTTTGAGCCCTATTTTTGGCTATTTCCATTGTTTCAGTTGACCAAACTCATAGCTATTTCTTTAGAACTCCGGTTTTTTCTATCGATTGAGTACAAGAAACTGCCCATTTACCAATTTCAACTACCCAATAACGTGGTCAGAAATTTGCAATTTGGCCAATTTCACAAAAACTAAAAAATATGCCAATTTCAAAATAAGGTCTGGAATGAACAATGCAGACATTCCTGGCTCTAAAATAACATTTTCTTTGTTCATCAGTCATGTCTCCAGGCCCCTCTGATATTACTCTTGCTTTATATTTTGAATTTTTATTCAAACAAAAAATAGAAGATTTACTATTATGCAGACTACTGCAATACTGTAATAATTGTATAAATAACATCAACCCATTCATGACTGCATGTTAGAATGGCTAGTTGGACATTTATTGAACAATGACATCATTTGTTTACTTTTGAACATCGGCAGAAATCAAACATTTCCCCTACTTTGAGCTCCATTTCCAGGTTTTTTTTATAGTAAAATCAATCAAAATCACCTCTATTTCTATAATATGTTTTCCATTCTATCATATGAGACCAAGAAAACGAGAATACATCCAAAAATACTATACGAAAATAGACCACAAAGTCGGCATTTTAATTAAAAAAAACGGTCGGAATTTTTTTTTTCATTATGCACTGCGTTCTCCAGGATTTTTTTTATATGGTGTACACTGACCACACAGACCCATTCTCTCACATGTGGGCCTACCAGCTTTCTTCTTGATTTGAAGCCGCTAGAATTTATGAGTATATATACGTCAAACACGGTACCTCGTAAGACGTATATATATGACCTAGACAGTCAAAGGGTGAATTGAGTTTACATTAATTCTTATGAGAAATATTATTTTGGTTTTAGGCCGACCTTCTGGAATGAATTATGGCCAATAACTGAGGGTCCACTGTACTAGATTTTATGTTTATCCCCTTGACTTTCGCAACCCCAAATCCTGAGGGGTCTCCTGGTGTCACAAAATTTAAAAAAAAAATTATTTTTTCCTATGAAATGATAGAGAATCTTTTCCCGATTGTAATGACACCAAAAGAACGAAATTTGATGGAAAACTGATGGAATTACGCTCTCACGAAGTTAGCGACCTCGGCGGTATTTACGAATCTGCTATTTCGCCCAATTTAAGAACATAAGAACGAAGGAACACTGCAGAAGGCCTACTGGCCCATGCGAGGCAGGTCCAAGTCTCCTACCGGCTTAAGCCAATGCACCCAACCTAGTCAGGTCAGGTCACATTGACTTAAGGGAGGAACACGGCAACCGACCTGGTAGCACAAGCTATCAGGCCCAACTCACACCCACCCACATCCACTCATGTATTTATCCAACCTATTTTTAAAGCTACACAACGTTCTGGCCTCTATAACTGTACTCGGGAGTTTGTTCCACTCATCCACAACTCTATTACCAAACCAGTACTTTCCTATATCCTTCCTGAATCTGAATTTTTCCAACTTAAAACCATTGCTGCGAGTCTTGTCTAGGCTAGATATTTTCAGCACACTATTTACATCCCCTTTATTTATTCCTGTCTTCCATTTATACACCTCAATCATATCCCCCCTAATTCTACGTCTTTCTAGAGAGTGCAGATTCAGGGCCCTTAGTCTATCCTCATAGGGAAGGTTTCTGATACATGGGATCAACTTTGTCATCCTCCTTTGTACATTTTCCAGAGAATTTATATCCATTCTGTAATACGGTGACCAAAACTGTGCAGCATAATCTAAATGAGGCCTAACCAAGGATGTATAGAGTTGAAGAACAACCATTGTTCCAGTCAACCAAACTCATAGCTATTTCTTTAGAACTCCATTTTTTCTATCAATTGAGTACAAGAAACTGCCCATTTACCGATTTCAACTACCCAATAACGTGGTCAGAAATTTGCAATTTGGCCAATTTCACGAAAATTAAAAAATATGATGATTTCAAAATAGGGTCCAGAATGAACAATGCAGACATTCCTGGCTCTAAAATAACATTTTCTTTGTTCATCAGTCACATCTCCAGGCCCCTCTGATATTACTCTTGCTTTCTATTTTGAATTTTTATTCAAACAAAAAATACAAGATTTAATCTGTTATGCAGACTACTGCAATATTGTAATAATTGTATAAATAATGTCAACCCATTCATGACTGCATATTAGAATGGCTACTTGGACATTTACTGGAAAATGACATCATTTGTTTACTTTTGAACATTGGCAAAAATCAAACATTCCCCTTACTTTGAGCTCCAATCAAAATCACCTCTATTTCTATAGTATGTTTTCCATTTTATCAACTGAGACCAGGAAAACGAGAATACAACCATAAATACTATACGAAAATAGACCACAAAGTCGGCATTTTAATTAAAAAAAACAGTAGGAGTTTTTTTTTTCTCATTATGCTGCAGGATTTTTTTTATATGGTGCACACTGACCACACAGACCCATTCTCTCACATGTGGGCCTACCAGCACTATCACGGGGTTGTGATAGTGCAGGAGTTAATGCACAAAAAAAAAGCATCTCATATGCTGTCACTCACCATTGCAACATTGTTCAATAAATCCTTAGAACCAAAACTTTCCCAGCAACATTGAAGATGGCATGGGTTACCCCAGTACATACCAATGTCAACAACTGCTGTATAGGCCAATATCTAACTTGCCATTGTTTTCTAAAATCTTCAAAAAACTAATTCATTGAGAGAGTTTCTTCATGCCCAGTGTTCCACAAGATACTTAACCCCTTCTAGTTGGTTTCAGGTCAGGAAAAATTCCAAATGGCACAATTATAAAAATAGTTGACTGACTTTGAGTGATGGTGAAAGTTTTTTTCTTTTTTTGGGTCACCCTGCCTTGGTGGGAGACAGCCAGTGTGTTTAAAAAAAAAAAGTGATATTTGATTAGTGATAAAGCTTGTGAACTTACGTACTTGATATTTTCTTTATTACCAGTCCTTGAAATCACCCGAGATGCAACTAAGCAAGAAGTCAAACGGGCTTTCCGAGCTATTGCATCAAAAACTCACCCTGACAAATTCCTGGATCCAGAGGAAAAGAAAGTTGCTGAAGAAAGATTCAGAATTTTGTCTACAGCGTAAGTGTTATACACTGTACAGTACATGCATGTGCTCTATAGTTTACTAAATATAGGAAGGGAGAGAATATAGATTCCTGTATCTTCAGTAATAAAGTTGACACCAATAACATTTCATGAAAAAGAGATTTCTTGACAAAGTGTAAAATGTCATGTATTAAAGTACAAAATAGTACTGGATTAAGATCTAGGGAAATTTAAAGTAGTTCTGTAAATTGTTACATAAGCCAACTTACATACTTAATTTTTTGTTTAAAAAATGAGAGTCAGTTTAAACAGTACATTTAAATTACCAAATATTAAGTAAAACTGTGCCACTTTCATTGAACTTGGTACTGGGCTGCAGGCAGGCAGGCAGACAGGATGAACGGGGAAGTGTATGCATTGTGGTCACAGCACAAAATAATCATAACTTGCTGAATTCTATTGTGTAGTGTTCTCTGTCAAACTCAGTAATCTGGCAGGTACGATATTCTGCGAGATGATGAAGCTCGAGAAGATTATGACTACATGTTGGATCACCCGGAACAGTTCTACCAGAATGTATACCGAGCATGGCGAAGGCGTATGGCTCCCCACGTTGATGTCAGAATTGTACTAGCAGCCACCATTTCCCTTATATCATTAGTGCAGTATTATAATGGTTGGACAAAGTAAGTACGTAGTAATCTCTATATGGTACGTACTGTGAATGTCTTGTAGTGTAGCATGTACTGTATTGTATTAAATGGTGTGCATATCATGGTCCTTGCAAGAAATAGCATAAAAATGTACTGTAATTCTTTTTGTATTTTCATTTAATACAGCCTCCCTTCACTTAGAGACGTACAGTGGACCCCCAGATTACGTCGTTGTCAGATTTTGTAATATTCAAAATAAGTAACGTTTTTTCATCAAAATATTGGCTCAGTGATCGTCATTGAACTTGGCACTAGTGATTTGTCCTGAATGTGTCCGCGCAGCCCGACGCACCATTTACAGTCAGTGTGCCGTTGTTTATTAGCCAGTGAGGACGATCCCACGTGTTCATACATTTTGTATTAATCCATTCTTTTTGGTGCTTGTAACTGCTAAATAAGCCACCATGGGCCCAAAGAAAGCTTCTAGTGCCAGCCCTTTGGTAAAGAGGGTAAGAAGCACTATAGAATTCAAGAAAGACATCATTGCAAAATATGAAAGTGGAGTGCTTGTTGCCGAGCTGGCCAGGTTGTATAACAAATCCCATACAACCATCACTTCTATCGTGGCCAAGAGAAAGGAAATCAAGGAAGATGTTGCGAAAGGTGCAAATATGCTTACAAAACAGAGATTGCAATTACTGGAAGATGTGGAGACTTTGTTGTTGGTGTGGATCAACGAGAACAATTATCAGGGGATAGTGTTATGCAGTCAATAATTTGTGAAAAGGCAAGGCAGTTGCATGATGATCTCGTAAAGAAAATGCCTGGAACTAGTGCTCATATTGGTGAATTTAGGCCAGCGAAGGCTGGTTTGAGAGATTTAAGAACCGTAGTGGCATACACAGTGTGATAAGGCATGGTGAGGCTACCAGTTCTGACAAAAAAAGCAGCTGAAAAATTTTCAGGAATTGAAGGGGTACATAGAGGCTGAAAAATTCAAACCCCAACAAGTGTTCAGTTGTGATGAAACAGGCCTCTTTTGGAAGAAAATGCCAAAGGAGGAAAAGGCACTCCCAGGACACAAGCCTATGAAAGGCAGGCTAACTCTCATGTTTTGTAGTAATGCTAGTGGGGATTTCAAAGTGAAGCCTTTACTGGTGTATCACTGAAAATCCCAGTGTGTTCAAGAATATAGTGTCATCAAGAGTAAATTGTGTGCAGTGTAGAAGGCAAACAGTAAGGCATGGGTGACGAGGGACATTTTCCTTGATTGGTTCAATGACGTGTTTGGCCCCAGTGTGAAGAAATACCTCCTGGAAAATAAATTGGAACTCAAGTGCCTCCTGGTAATGAACAATGCTCCTGCTCATCCTCCAGACTTGGAAGAGCAAATGGTGCAGGAGTTTCATTTCATCAAAGTGAAATTGTTGACTCCTAATACCACTCCTCTCCTCCAGCCCATGGACCAGCAGGTCATTTCAAATTTCAGCAAACTGTACACCAAAGCAGTGTTTCAAAAGTACTTTCAAGTGACCTCAGACACTGAATTGACCCTTATAGACTTCTGGAAAGATCACTTCAGTATCCTCCACTGCATAAACCTTATAGCTAAGGCTTGGGAGGGAGAGACTTCCAAGATTTTGAATTCTGCTTGGAAAAAACTGTGGCCACAATGTGTACAAGAGAGGGATTCTGAAGGTTTTGGAGCTGACCCTGAGGAGCCTATGCCAGTTGTGGAAAGTATTGTGGCATTGGGGAATTCCATGGGGTTGGATGTGAGTTTTGAGGATGTGGAAGAGTTGGTGGAGGACCACAATGAAGAGGTAACCACTACAGAGCTGCAAGACCTTCATCTGCAACAGCAACAGACCACAGCTCAGAAAATTGCCTTCAGAGGAGGAGAAAGAGAGATGGAGGAAGGTGCCTTCTTCAAAGATTAAGGAGATTTGTACAATGTGGACAAAGGTGCAAACATTTATGGATGAGCTTCACCATGACAAAGCTGTTGCAGGCCGTGTTAGCAACATGTACAATGACAATGTTGTGTCCCATTTTAAGGAAGTTTTAAAGAAATGCCAGATACAGACCTCTCTGGAACACATTTTTGAGCAACAAGGGTCCAGTGACTCTCAAGCTGGTCGTAGTGGCATTAAAAAGCAAAGAAGGGTTTTTTTTTTTAATAAGTCAGCCGTCTCCCACCGAGGCAGGGCGACCCCAAAAAAAAGAAAATCCCCAAAAAGAAAATATTTTCATCATCATTCGACACTTTCACCTCACACATAATCACTGTTTTTGCAGAGGTGCTCAGAATACAACAGTTTAGAAGCATATACAGTGGTCCCTCAATTATCGTCCTAATTCCGTTCCTGGAAGTGGGACTGTGAGTGAGAGGGGTTGGATTTGAGTCGGACTTGCACCTGAGCTTATTGCTTGGGTAGCATTTGTTCTGTTAGTGGGTTGGATTTGTGAAGGACCTGCCTAGTATGGGCCAGCAGGCCTACTGCAGTGTTCCTCCTTTCTTATGTTCTTATTGAAGACTTGTTTGTGTGAGGGAGGGATGGCAAGTTTATTGTTGGAGAATATGACACTAATATCAACTCTACAGCTTATTTATCTATCACAATTCAACTAATATGACATAAACAATATTAATAACACAGAAACATGGAATATACTCTAGAATAAATAAAATAAGTCATTATGTATGTTACGAGAGGTGTTATGTCGTGTTGTTGTTGGGTGTATAAGGGCCACTGAGAGTAAGCCGTCCATAATGGTGGTGAAGCAGCAGCTGAGGCAGCGGTGTTTTCTGTAGCCCTATATAACTCCAACAACATTGGAGGAGTTGGTAGAATCGCTGAATCACTAAAGAAGGAACCCTCTACCACCATCACTACCACCTTCTACCACTATTACAACTGCTACCACCATCACTACCACCTTCTACCACTATTACAATTGCTACCACCATCACTACCACCTTCTACCGCTATTACAACTGTTACCACCATCACTACTACCTTCTACCACCATCACTACCACCCTCTACCACCATCAACCACTATCACAACTGCTTCCACTCTACCACCACCTTTGTATTTTTCTACAAACTTTTTCATAAATTATGTGTTTCTCACATTCTTTACCAAAGGGCTGGCACTAGAAGCTTTCTTTGGTGCCATGGTAGCTTATTTAGCACTTGCAAGCATTAAAATCAATAGAATATTATGAAATATTTCGTAGGAGCAAGTGTGGGGACCGTCGCTCACTGGTAAACAATGGCACACTGGCTGGGAAGGCAGGCCCAGGCGGCTCAGAGCGTGAGTACACGTTCCGGACGAAGGACGATTAGCGAGTTAACGGACCATTTGCGAGCCAATGTTTAGACGAAATAACGGGACTATTTTCGAAATGGACGACTTTCAGGCCGGACAATTATTGAGGGACCACTGTACGTATAAAGATACACAACATATCCGCCCAAACTGCCAATATCCCAAACCCCTCCTTTAAAGTGCAGGCATTGTACCTCCCATTTCCAGGACTCAAGTCCGGCTATATAAAAATAACCGGTTTCCCTGAATCCCATCACTAAATATTACCCTGCTCACACTCCAATAGCTCGTCAGGTTCCAAATACCATTCATTTCCATTCACTCCTACCTAACACGCTCACACACGCTTGCTGGAAGTCCAAGCCACTTGCCCACAAAACCTCCTTTACTTTAGGAATGGAACTCAATTGTTAAATGAGGAGAGGCTGTATACTGAGTTGCTTTTTTTTTTTTTTTTTTTTGTACTCGCATTCCATATAGGCAATTTAACCTAAAGAAGATACAATTACCATCACCTTCAACCCTCTCAGGGTCACTACTCCTGCTCTCAGACTTGCTGTCAGGGTCGCAAAATTTAAAAAACAAATTCTTATGAAATCGTAGAGAATCTTTTTCTGAAGGTAATAAAACAAAAATTACAAAATTTGATGGGAAACTGACAAAATTATGCTCTCACTAATTTTGCTACATTAGTAATTTTACTCGACAGAGATTTTGTCCACTTTGAGTCCAATTTTAGGGCAGTTGCATTGCTCCGGTTGACCAAATTCTTAGCTATTTTGTTAGTATGTCTTCCATTCTATCGATTGAGTACAAGAAAGTGCCCACTCAACTATTTAAAATACCCAGTAAAGTGATCAGAAATTGGTAATTTGGCCAATTTCATACAAAATTCAAGAAATACCAATTTTAAAATAGGGTCCAGAATAAACAATGCAGACATTCCTGTCTCCAGGCCCCTCTTATATTACAGTTGCTTTCCATTTTGAATTTTTATTCACAGTAAATAGGAGATAAACTGTTATGCAAACTACTGCATTATTGTAATTGTATAATAGTCAGTGCATTCCTAAATGCATTTTAGACTGGCCAGTTTGACGTGTATTGGAAAAGTGGCATCGTTTGTGTACTCTGGATTATTGGCAAAAATTAAACATTCCTGCTATTTTGAACTCAATTTCAACCTACTTTCATTCCTGAAATCAAACAGAATCATCTCTATTTCTGTAACATATCTTCCATTCTATCAAATAAAACCAAGAATACAACAATAAAAACCATATGAAAATACACTGCAATATCACTTTTTTAAACCAAAAATGCCTTTGCATTTTTTCTCATGCACTGCATGCTTCAAGAAGTTTTTTTGGTATGGTGCATGCTTACTGCATAGACCCATTCTCTCATATGTAGGCCCAAGTTTACTGCTCACAGCTTATCTGGGCGAGCTGAACTCATGACATACATGAGGATACAGGACATAAATGAGGAACCCTGGCCTCAGTGACATAGTTCCATGTGATGAACAGTGAAATGGTTAATATTGGAATTACATACCTATTACCAAATTCTGCATTTTTTATTTTTTTTTTAACACAATCATTTTTCACTGAAGCAGGGTGACCTGAAAAAGAAGAAACACATTCATCATCACTCATTCTATCAGTGTCTTGCCAGAGGCATGTCTACACTACAGTT